ACTTTGTTATTTTTGAATGGATTGTCTTCAAACTTGAACATAATTATCTTCAGGGATATCCCTTAAAAATAACTAGACAGACCTTGACCTTCACTCATAAATGACCTTGACTTTGAAGGTCAAATTATTGAAATTTTCATTTTTTTGGCTATTATTGGCTGTAACTTTGTTATTTTTGAATGGATTGTCTTGAAACTTGAACATAATAATCTTCAAAGATAACTGTTAAAAATATACTGAAAGACCTTGACCTTCAATCATTAATGACATTGTCTTTGAAGGTCAAATTATTGAAATTTTCATTGTTTTGGCGGTAACTGACTGTAACTTTGCTATTATTGAAGGGATCAACTTCATATTATAACAGAACATTCTTAAGGACCAGACCTCGTTGTTTATCAAACCCAAATTTGCTTGGGCTCTTTAATGACCTTGACCTTGAAGGTTAAATTACTGAATTTTCTCAGATTTGTGCATTAAATGACCATAATTATATATTTATTGGTGTGTGTGTGTGTATATATATATATATTTACAACAACAACAACAACAACAATTGCGTCATTGTTTCTATATATAGAATTGCGTCATTGTTTCTATTTATAGAATTGCGTCATTGTTTCTATTTTTAGAAATTGCATCATTGTTGCTATTTTTAGAAATTGTGTCATTGTTTCTATTTTTAGAAATTGCGTCATTGTTGCTTTTTTTTTAGAAATTGCGTCATTATTGCTATTTTTAGAAATTGCATCATTGTTTCTATTTTTAGAAATTGCATCATTATTGCTATTTTTAGAAATTGCGTCATTGTTTCTATTTTTAGAAATTGCGTCATTGTTGCTATTTTTAGAAATTGCGTCATTGTTGCTATTTTTAGAAATTGCGTCATTGTTGCTATTTTTAGGAATTGCGTCATTGTTGCTATTTTCAGAAATTGCGTCATTGTTTCTATTTTTAGGAGTTGCGTCATTGTTGCTATTTTTAGAAATTGCGTCATTGTTTCTATTTTTAGAAATTGCGTCATTGTTGCTATTTTTAGAAATTTGTTGCTATTTTTGGAAATTGCGTCATTGTTGCTATTTTTAGAAATTGCGTCATTGTTTCTATTTTTGGAAATTGTGTCATTGTTGCTATTTTTGGAAATTGCGTCATTGTTTCTATTTTTAGAAATTTGTTGCTATTTTTAGAAATTGCGTCATTGTTGCTATTTTTAGAAATTGCGTCATAGTTGCTATTTTTAGAAATTGCGTCATAGTTTCTATTTTTAGAACTTGCGTCATTGTTGCTATTTTTGGAAATTGCGTCATTGTTTCTATTTTTAGAAATTTGTTGCTATTTTTAGAAATTGCGTCATTGTTTCTATTTTTAGAAATTGTGTCATTGTTGCTATTTTTGGAAATTGCGTCATTGTTTCTATTTTTAGAAATTTGTTGCTATTTTTAGAAATTGCGTCATTGTTTCTATTTTTAGAAATTGCGTCATTGTTGCTATTTTTAGAAATTGCGTCATAGTTTCTATTTTTAGAAATTGCGTCATATTTTCTATTTTTAGAACTTGCGTCATTGTTTCTATTTTTGGAAATTGCGTCATTGTTGCTATTTTTAGAAATTTGGTCATTGTTTCTATTTTTAGAAATTGCGTCATTGTTGCTATTTTTAGAAATTGCGTCATTGTTTCTATTTTTAGAAATTGCGTCATGTTGCTATTTTTAGAAATTGCGTAATGTTTCTATTCATATATATATACAAAAAATATAAACAAAACAAATGTGACAAGACAGACCAACTAAATTTATAAAAAGGAAACGTTAAGATATGTTCAAACCTTTCTATGTTTGCGTTTAGAAAAAGTAAAAAGTCGAGCGTTGCCCCCGCCCGGCGGTGGCTCTTGTTAAGTTTTACTATACACATATAAGGAAAACCTATGGCCCCCGGGGGCGGGGCTAATTTTTACACAAGAGGCAAAATTTGAACAAGTTTAGTAGAGTACCTTTAGATGATATTATTTAACAAATATTAAAGCTCTTAGCCTTGTACCTTCAGACAATAAGATTTTTTTTGTTTACTATATATATATATTGAAATCAATGACCCCCAGGGCGGGGGCAATTTTGACCCCAGGGCTATAATTTGAACAATCTTGCTAGAGGTTTACTACACAATGTTTCATGCAAAATATATAACCTCTAGCATTTGTCAATTGCTAGAAGATTTTTTTTTAAAGTTTTTACTATATACATATAAGGAAAACCAATGACCCCTGGGGCGGGGCCGATTTTGACCCCAGGGCTATAATTGGAACAATCTGGGTAGAGGTCTACAAGAAAATGCCTTATGCAAAATATCTAAGCTCTAGGCCTTTTGGGTCTTTACAAGAAGGTTTTTTAAGTTTTTACTTATGTACATATAGTGAAAATCAATGACACCAGGGTGGGGCCGATTTTGACCAAAGGGCTTTAATTTGAACAATCTTGGTAAGGGTCTACCAGACGTTTCCTTATGCAAAATATCTAAGCTCTAGGCCTTTTGGGTTTTTACAAGAAGGTATTTTAAGTTTTTACTATATGTACATAGTGAAAATCAATGACCCCCGGGGCGGGGCCAATTTTGACCCCAGGGCTATAATTTGAACAATCTTGTTAGAGGTCTACCAGACAATGCCTTATGCAAAATATCTAAGCTCTAGGCCTTTTGGGTCTTTACAAGAAGATTTTTTAAATTTATTCTTATAATTCCTTTAGGTTGCCATGGCAACCAGATTTCTGCATGGAATGAAATTCTTTGAACAACTTTGGAAGCCCTTCACCCAAGGAACAATCCTGCCAAGTTTGGTTGAAATTGGACTAGTGGTTTTTCACAAGAAGATTTTTTAAGTTCACTATATAATCTATATCACACACACAAACACACACACACACACAGGTGAATCGCTATATGCCACCGCATCGCAGATGCTGCGGTGGCATAAAAACAACTTTTGTTGAACTTTGTTTTGAAACTGTCTAGAATGATAACAAGAGGGCCAGGATGGCCCTGAGGTCGCTCACCTGTATATAGGCCCCCGGAGCGGGGCCAGTTTGAAACCCCAGGGCTTTTATTTGAACAAACTTGGAAGACACTCATTAGAAGATGTTTCACAATGTTAAGTTTTTACTACACACATGTAATGAAAAACAATGATCTCAGACCCCCCTCCCCCAGGGCCAATTTTCACCCAAGGGCTTTTATTTAAACAAACTTTGTAGACATCCATAAGAAGATATTTCATGCTTAACATCTAAGCTCTAGCTCATTGGGTTTTTTAAAAGAAGATTTTTAAGGTTTTACTACACACATATAGTTAAAAACAATGACACCCCTGGGGCGGGGCCAGTTTTGACCCCAGGGCTTTTATTTGAACAAACTTTGTAGACGTTTACTAGAAGATGTTTCATGCTTAATATCTAAACTCTAGCTATTTAGGTTTTTTCAAAGAAGATTTTTTAAGTTTTTACTATATGCATATAGGGAAAATCAAGACCCCCCGGGGCGGGGCCAATTTTGACCCAAGGGCTTTTATTTGCACAAACTTTGTAGACACTCACTAGAAGATGTTTCATGCTTAATATCTAAACTCTAGCTATTTGGGTTTTTTCAAAGAAGATTATTTAAGTTTTTGCTATACACATATAAGGAAAATCAATGACCCCCGGGGAGGGGCCAATTTTGACCCCAGGGCTTTTATTTTAACAAACTTGGTAGACACTCACTAGAAGATGTTTCATGCCAAATATCTTAGCTCTAGCTCTTTGGGTTCTTTAAAAGAAGATTTTTTAAGTTTTTACTACAGTACAGATATCGAGGAATATGCAAAATCCTCCGAGGATCGAGGAAAGTACTCGCAACTCCGCGAGAGTATTTGTCCATAAAAACGAGTGACTCCGCGTGAGAAACGTGTGATGAGAGTGACTCCGAGACGAAAATAAAAGCGCGTGACTCCGAGAGAGAATTACCGCGTAACTCCGTGTCGGTGTCTAGATGGTGTAAATAAATGCAAGTGCAATCTCATTTTATATTTAATTTAATTCTTTAGATTACCATTCGAAAATAAAGATGATTTTACGGTTGTTGTTTTCAATTTACCCTGAAACAGTTGAAAGGTACATTTGATTAGAAAAAATCACTACCGTAAGCGTCATCAGTTCTCAACCGATTAATTAGGTCAGTAGCAATAACCACAGGAACCCGAAATTCTATCAAAAACAAAAAGCGATTTAAAAAATCCATATAATAACGGCCCAACATTTTTTATACTTCTTTAAGAAATGAATTAATTATATAAACTTCTTAATCTTAAATGTTTCTATATGCATCAAATACCGATAACGTGCCGTTCTAATTTATTTCAGGTGCCAAATATTGTGTTGTGTTTATTTTTTTTCAATGTGGAAAATGAGTTTCGATCTTCATAATATTTTAATCATTGATAACATGTGCACATCAAAAAATTTGACTTTCCCAACTTTTATATTGGTTTGTATAGTTTTAAAAATTGTCATAATGTGCAAGTACGTTTCTTCATAATCCATTGTTTACATGTATTTTAGTTACGTGTCAACCTGTCACATCCGCCGTTTTAATTAGAAGACACTTGATTTATATATAATTTTTGAGAATTAACATTAACTTAATCGTTTCTAAATAAAGCTGCATAAAAATTAGTAATATATTGTTGTAATTTTATTCCAAGAGTATCTCCGAAAATCTGTCGGTCTCATTCTGTTATCAAAGTCATATGTAGACGTATGTCGATATTGATATCAAAAGTCAGTTGTCTGGTGATGATCATTAATAAATTAAGATTTTTGTTTTTTATTTCAGGCATTATGGAGGAATTCAAGAGTTATAGAGGTGTTAACAAGTTGACAGAGGCCGTTCAACTTACCTAGCGCACTGCTCCCGTAATTCATTCACCTGTAATCAGCATTACACAGATTGACAAAAAATAAAAACAGCAAAGAATAAAATGATCATTTTATTTGTCTTTTTGTTTTATTTGTTTATGGTTTGTACATCATCTATATCATGTCATTTTATAAAAATAAAAAAACAGTTTTGACAAAGATTAAACTACTTCCGATTTCACGTACATGTACTGTTCATAGACGATAAAACAATATTTTTATAATAGCATATGAACATATTTGATCGTCACAGCAAGCGGGCATGCGTTGTACATGTACGTATGTGGATTGAAAAAGACCGCCATGCCTTTAAAAAATCACTGCCAATCTCAATGTTCTTGTTTTATAATTCATGGTTTTATTTTTGAGACGACGCAGCGCCTGTTGTTTTCCCCCTGCAAACATCGGTAGAATTTCATAAATGAATTCCTTAATGTTGACCTTTCTTGTGCTGCCAACATCGGTAGAATTGCCTAGCAGATCGAACTTCTTAACTCTGTTCTATATTGTTCTGAAAGCAATAGTAAAATAAATTTAAACATTAATGTTAAAAGCAGGACTGTACATGCCGACATAGGGTGTCGCTGTTTTGGCTAGTGCATTGTATGGAATGATGTATTATATCTCGTATTTCACGGATTTTTTATCAACCAACAATTAAAAGGAGACGTACATGTACTTCACATGGAAATCAGTTTGGTATCATTTATGTAACTGGTACAAATTTATCTAAAAGCCTGACTTAAAAGTATAAAATTACTTTCCAAGGCAGATACATTTCACTGAAGAATACTTTGTACACTGTCTTAAAGAATATGTTGTTTTTTTATTCAGTTCAGGTACAAAGTATAATTTCCCTTACGATAGTATGTCAATGGAATGAATCGACCTAAGCACGTGGTTGTTTTGCCATGTATTTCCTTTTTTTTCTTCTTCTTTTTTTTTGCTTACATAATAATTATAAATTTGTATAAACAATGCAAAAAAGAAGCTCATCTATATTTTCTTATTTTAGAATACTAAATTAAATAGGTTTTTGACACTGAGCGTTACGGGAATTGCGGGAAATCATCGGTTATTCTTTCCTTTAATTAATTAATGAATCAAGTGTGTCTACTTTCGTTTTCACTTGTGATACTTTACATCAACGAAGAATTTTCGACAACATTGTTATTTTGAATGAATAATACATGCGTTGAAGGATTTTATTTTAGAGGTAGAGCATTATATTAATTAATAAATAAATAAAGCATACGTGTACCAAATCAGTCTTATTTTCTCGGAGTCACTCTTTTTGACTCGGAGATTCACGGAGTCCCGCGGACAAAATTGTCACTCGTTTTTGTCTCGGAGTCACTCTTTTTCACCCGAGAAATTTATAATCCACTCGGAGTCACGCTTTTTGAGATTACTCGATACTCGCAGAAATTTGCATATTCCTCGATATCTGTACTGTATATGCATATAGGGAAAATCAATGACCCCCTGGGGCAGGGCCAATTTTGACCCCAGGGCTTTTATTTGAACAAACTTGGTACACACTCATTAGAAGATGTTTAATGCTGAATATTTTAGCTCTAGCTCTTTGGGTTCTTTAAAAGAAGCATTTTTAAGTTTTTACTATATGCATATAGGTAAAATCAATGACCCCCTTGGGCGGGGCCAATTTTGACCCCAGGGATTTTATTTGAACAAACTTGGTAGACACTCACTAGAAGATGTTTCATGCCATATATCTAAACTCTAGCTATTTAGGTTTTTTCAAAGAAGATTTTTTAAGTTTTTACTATATGCATATAGGGAAAATCAAGACCCCCCGGGGCGGGGCCAATTTTGACCCTAAGGCTTTTATTTGCACAAACTTTGTAGACACTCACTAGAAGATGTTTCATGCTTAATATCTAAACTCTAGCTATTTCGGTTTTTCCAAAGAAGATTATTTAAGTTTTTGCTATACACATATAAGGAAAATCAATGACCCCGGGGCGGGGCCAATTTTGACCCCAGGGCTTTTATTTGAACAAACTTGGTAGACACCCATTAGAAGATGTTTCATGCTGAATATCTTAGCTCTAGCTCTTTGAGTTCTTTCATAGAAGATTTTGTAAGTTTTTACTATATGTATATAGGGAAAATCAATGACCCCCTGGGGCGGGGCCAATTTTGACCCTAAGGCTTTTATTTGAACAAACTTGGTAGACACTCACTAGAAGATGTTTCATGCCAAATATCTAAGCTCTAGCTCTTAGGGTTTTTTAAAAGAAGATATTTAAAAAAAATTCTTTCGGTTGCCATGGAAACCAGAGTTCTACATGGAATTAAATTCTTTGAACAATTTTTAAAGGTGACCACCAAAGGAACATTCCTGTGAAGTTTGGATGAAATTGGCTTAGTGGTTTATGAGGAGATGTCATTTAAAGTAAAAGTTTACGGACGGACGACGGACGGACGGACGACGGACGGACGCAGGACGAAAAGCGATCACAAAAGCTCACCCTGTCACTTTGTGACAGGTGAGCTAAAAGATGATCTAAGAAAATAAATCCAAACACCAATATCTTTAATTCAGTCATAATTGCTGTACAGACATTTTAAGTGTTGTTTACACGAGTCACAATGTAGTGCCAAACATCGCGTGCAACACGGTCAAAACTAGAACTGCCACTGTCATGGTGTGAATATCCCTGCATACCACTTTGTCAGAATCAACAGTGGTCATTTAGAGCTCAAGGACAACCTCCCTGCCAAATCTGAAGGTAGTAAGCCAAAGCATTGCTAAATTATGTTTTCTACATGTTTTTTGTGGCAAAGATCAAAGTGACCTTAACCTTTGACCTCAAACCCAAAACTGCCACTGCATGACTTGCAGCTTTGCCTGGGGGTGTTTTATGATGAATTTATATGAGAACATAATTATATGCTTCAAATGTGAAAATGTCAAAATCAATAACACTTAATTCTTAAGCATTTGATCTGATAAGCTTATTGTAGTAAAAGTCCCTGTGACCTTGACCTTTGACCCAGTGACCTCAAAATCAATAGAGGTCATCTACTAATCATGACTTACCTCCATGCTAAATATGAAGACTGTGGGACAAAGTAATTTTAAGTTATTGGGCGGACATGCTATTTTAGTCAAGACCTCTGTGACCTTGACTTTTGAACAGTGACCTCAAAATCAATAGAGGTCATCTACTAATCATGACATCCACCATGCCAAATGTGGAGACTGTGGGTCTAAGGATTCTTTAGTTATTAGGCTGACAAGGTTTTCTTAGTTAATGCCCCTGTGACCTTGACCTTTGACCCAGTGACCTCAAAATCAAAAGAGGTCATCTACTACTCATGACTAACAGCCATGACAGTGGGTCAAAAGAATCTAAAGTTATTGGGCGGACAAGTGTTTTTCATTCAAGACCCCTGTGACCTTGACCTTTGATCCAGTGACCTCAAAATCAATAGGGATCATCTACACATCATGACTAACCTCATGCCAAATATGAAGACTGTGGGTCAAAGGAATCTAAAGTTATTGGGATCATCTACACATCATGACTAACCTCCATGCCAAATATGAAGACTGTGGGTCAAAGGAATCTAAAGTTATTGGGCGGACAAGCTCTTTTTAATCAAGACCCCTGTGACCTTGACCTTTGACCCAGTGACCTCAAAATCAATAGGGGTCATCTACTTATCATGACTAACCTTCATGCCAAATATGAAGACTGGGTTAAAGGAATCTTAAGTTATTGGGCGGACAAGATTTTTTTAGTCAAGGCCCCTATGAACGTAACCTTTGACCTGGTGACGTCAAAATCTATTGGGGTCATCTACTAATCATGGCCAACCTCCATGAGAAATATGAAGACTGTGGGTAAAAGGAATCTTAAGTTATTTGGCGGACAAGCTTTTTTTAGTCAAGGCCCCTGTGACCTTGACCTTTGACCTGGTGACCTCAAAATCATTAGGGATCATTTGCTAATCTTGACCAATCTAAATACCAAATATTAAGACTCTGGGTCATAGTTATCTTAAGTTATTGGGCGGACAAGGAAAAACCGACGGACGGCCGGATGGCGGGATGGACAAGCTGATTCAAGTTATACCCCCCTTACAACTTTGTTGTGAGGGGGTATAAAAAGTCAGCTAAAAACTCCTCAAAAAGTCTATATCCATCCAGTAACCTGCAATCAATCCACTTAAACAACCAACAGGTGTTAGTCACACAGTAAATGTAATAGTATCATCAATCACACATATGTAAATTATTTTTGAATCTTGAATCTTTTTATTTTTCTTAAAGTATTATTAAATTGTTATTGAGTTTCATTTTCTTCAAATACTGTAGCTCATCTGGAGGCAAGCAGCTTTAAATAAGAGAGGAAACAATAACATAGAATTTTTAGCAGTTAAACAACCTCATTAAGTCTCATCTTAATACATTAAATGCTGCTGTACCTATGCCAGCAGATACAGGTGACATGACAGTTCAAAACATGTATCTTGAAGTGCATTCATGTGACCAAGAAACAATTAGTGTAATAGCCTAAATACATGTAATCTGATTAAAATCTAAAGTCAATTTTAAGGAAAGAATGTTGAAACAGTATAAAAAAATGCACAAGAAGGAGTCATTCTTTATGTATTGATACTGACATTTAATATAACATTTTCTTACAAATTGGAAGCAGTTCTAAGATAAGGATCAATGAAGCTATCACAATATTATTCAGCATGTCAAAACCTATGATGCTTATTGGGGAAACAAATGCCACAAGATCCAAGGGAAGTAATTCTTCTGACATTACTAGCTATGAATATGAAGATACTTAGTGTTGTGGAAAAAGAAGATATCTATACAATAAACAAGAGGGCCATGATGGCCCTGAAATCACTCACCTGAATATAGAAACTCACCATGACAAGGAACAAGTAATATTGTAAACTATCAACAAACGCAGATATGAAATCTAAACCTTAAACTGATATCACAAAGTTCATATTTGATTCTGAAATAGTGCATGTGTAAAACATTACTGGTTGCTATTGCTAAGGGAAAACAACAGTTCCAAAAGATGTGTACTTATCAGGAAATCAATGAACTACAGGGGGGGGGCCAATTTTGACCCTAGGGCTTTTATTTGACACAACTTGGTAGACAGCCATTAGAATATTTTTCATGCTTAATATCTAAGCTCTGGCTCTTTGGGTTTTTTAAAAGAAGATTTTTTTAAAGTTTTTAATAATCACATTGCAAAATTACCGCATTACCCCACCCACGCCTATACATATAACACTGACGTTTTTTATTTACTGTTCAATGAATATTGACATTATCTTTTTCTAAAACAATTCAATGATTTAAAGATATATTATATTCACAAATAATACTAATTATATTTAAAAGAAACAAAAAACTTTCGAAAGAAAAACATAAATCATGAATGTAGTGTAAAAAGTTAGCCATTACAGTCCAGCTTTAGTTGTGTCCCCTAGTTAATCAAACGCCATTTACTTCCTGTCTAGGCCGTTCTATATACAGTGCAGGGTTTTAAATTGATTTTGGGATTGTGTAGGTTATTTAATGCAGCGAGGTTTGCATGTCACAGATATATGTGTGAATTTTAGTTTTTTTTTCTTTAGTAAGGATGAAGTATTTGTAAGACATTACATAAATTAAATAAAGTATTACCTCCTTCAAATAGCAATCCACCTATAAAGTTTGAATATTAAAGGCCAAATGGAATTTAAGTTATGCTCCAGAAACTGTTTTCAGTTTTGAGGTAATAGCGACCTTGAACTTTGACCTTGTGACCCCAAAATCAATAGGGGTCTTCTACCCAATATGGACAATCATCCTATGAAGTTTGAACACTATGGGCCAAATAGAAATTAAGTTATGCTCTGGAAACTGTTTTCAGTTTTAAAGTAATAGTGACCTTGACCTTTGACATTGTGACCCCAAAATCAATAGGCGTCTTCTACCCAATATGGACAATCATCCTATGAAGTTTGAATACTGTGGGCCAAATAGACCTTAAGTTATGCTCCGGAAACTGTTTTCAGTTTAAAAGTAATAGTGACCTTGACCTCTGACCTTGTGACCCAAAAATTCAAAACAATATGGACAATCATCCTATGAAGTTTGAACACTGTGGGCCAAATGAAACTTAAGATATGTTCCAGAAACTGTTTTCAGTTTTAAAGTAATAGTGACCTTGACCTTTGACCTTGTGCCCCCAAAATCAATAGGGTTGTTCTACCCAATATGGACAATCATCCTATGAAGTTTGAATATTGTGGGCCACATGGAACTTAAGTTTTGCTCTGGAAACTGTTTTCAGTTTTAAAGTGATGATGATCTTGACCTTTGACCTTGTGACCCCAAAATCAATAGGAGTCTTCTACCCAATATGGACAATCATCCTATGAAGTTTGAACACTATGGGCCAAATAGAAATTAAGTTATGCTCTGGAAACTGTTTTCAGTTTTAAAGTAATAGTGACCTTGACCTTTGACATTGTGACCCCAAAATCAATAGGCGTCTTCTACCCAATATGGACAATCATCCTATGAAGTTTGAAAATTGTGGGCCAAATGGAACTTAAGTTATGCTCCAGAAACCAAATTGCTAACGGACAGACGGACGTCCAGACAGACGGACGGACGCCAGGGGGTATAACATAATATGCCCGAAATTCTTTTGGGAACATAAAAAAGGAGTTATAAAACAAGAGGGCCAAGATGGCCCTAGACCGCTCACTTGACTGATCCAACTCATCCAAGCAATTTCTCAGACAAGTATCCTGACCAAATTTGATGACAATTGAGTCAAAAATGTGACCTTTAGTGTTAAAAAGGTTTTTTCATATTATGTCAGAGTGACCTAGTTTTTGACCCAGGTGACCCATATTCAAACTTGACCTAGAAATCATTAAAACAACTTTCCTGACCAATTTCTAGAATATTTGGATCAAAACTGCAGTCACTAGAGTGTTAACAAGATTTTTCTATTTTTAGCTCATATGACCTAGTTTTTGACCCAATATGACCCATATTCAAACTTGACCTAGAAATCATCAAAAAAAATTTTTTGACCAATTTCAAGAATATTTGAAACAAAACTGCAGCCACTAGAGTGTTAACAAGATTTTTCTTTTTTTAGCTCCTGTGACCTAGTTTTTGACCCATATTCGAATCTGACCTGTATTTCATTGAGAAAGACATTCTGACAAAGTTTGATTATGATCCAATAAAAACTGTGACTGCTAAAGTGTTAACAATCCAAATGTTAACGATTCAAGGCAACGGACCCTGGACATAGCCCCATCACTATACCTCACATGTGATGATGGGTGATGTGATGGTCAGGTAAGCTAAAATGTGAACTGTCACAGGTAATGTACAAAATCTGAATAGAAAATCGTTCTCTATTACAGTTGAATATCCGAAGCACTAATCAATTTTTTCTCCATGTTCTTGTTATGTATCTGAAAGTCTGAAATATTGGCCTGTTGCGACAATGATTTAAACATCTGGTCGAAGCAAAATTGGATAACAAGAAAAATTGAAATGACTGGTAAACTTAAAAAAAATGAATTCAATACAATATGTGCCGAGAATATGTCCATTTAAATATTGGTGCAAATTGCATAATGCTCGTTCGTATGAATTTGAAGACGAACTGTCTCTTATTATACAAATAGCAAAAATATGTCTGAAATATCAAATAATAGTCATGAATAAATTGATATATATATATATATAATCAATTCTTAGTTACGTTTTGTTTTTTGAGAACAATCGTCAGTCATAGAATCCTTCAAAATAACCTATTGCAAATATTTTTGATACATTTAAAAAAAAAACGTACTTTTTTCAATCAGTTAATCTGTTTTATAACTTAAATGTTAATTATTTTCATAAATTACATGTCGAACACGTTTTGCCTGTTTTGCAAAAAATATTTTCGCTGAGTCCGTATCGCCAATAAAATCTCCGTTGCGTATTTTAATGTTACCTCATGTTCCCTGCCCGAATTTGGTTCCCGTCATTAGACTTGAACGATCGACTATAGACTGGCTCATTGGCACTTTATTTATTAGGTAGATTAATAGTATCTGTCATATGTTGCGGACGGACCGGAATATCCATCCCTAGGGGGGGTCGCCCAATTGGCGGTAACGAGGCTTGCCGAGTTACCGCCCAATGGGCGGGTTCCCCAGTGACGGATATTCCGATCCGAACCACAAACATGTGTCAGATATTTTTTCTTGCATATTCTGCCATATTATTTCATATTCAAAATGGTTTACCTCAATATGATACATGTTCAAGGAAATTAAAGTCATTTCATCCATAACTATTTTCTTCCAATAGCGTATGAACTTACAACTTAAATAACAACGGCGAAATGACGTCATCCTAAGCACATATTTTCCTTCTAAAATGACGTCATTTTAAACGGTTCATTCATAAAGTGCGCTAAAATGACGTTGTTGTTTGGCACGCGACTCATCTGGCACCCCCCATGCCAGATGAAATTTCCAGCATGGGTAAAACGCACGGAACCGCCAGTCTGCTATGCAAGAAAAAAGTAGATAATTATAATAAAATGGATCTTTTTTTTTTTTTTTAAAAAAAAAAAAAAAAAACCTAAATTTAAAATTTTTGTTTAAAAAATTTTTTAAATCCCCCTTAAAAACCCTTTGTGAAAAAATTTTTTTTTGTTTAAAAAAAAAATTTTTAAAAAGGGGAAAAAAAAGCTTTTTTAAAATATTTTTTTTTTTCTAAAAAAAAGCCCCCCCCCCAAAAAAACCCCCGAATGGGTGGGGTTTTAAATTTTTTTTTTTTCTTTGTTTTTTTTTTTTTCCCCAAAAAAAGGGACAAAAAATATTTTTTTAAATATTTTTAAATCTTACTTGATTATTATTTTTTCTTGAAGTCATAAACTAATATAAAAAAAATATTTTGAAATTAAATAAAAATGAAATCTTTTAAATTTAAAATTTTAAAATGGCTATAACATTCTTATAATTTTAATTTAAATGAAAATCACATTTAATTGGATACCGTTTTCATAACTAGAAGTGACTCCAAAGATGACATCTGTTAAAAAAAAATCCTAAATAACAAACATGATTTAACAATATATTTCCCTGCCAAGATACAATAGATAATGTTAGCAACATTATGTTCAATTAAAAATAGCAGCCTATCATAGTCACCCTTTTATCATAGTATGTCCAGCTTCAAAGATAATATTTTTTTAACACATCAAGCGTCCGACAGAAACAATTCCAAAGCAAGGCAGAAACAGACACAAAAATAGATTAAAATGTATCAAAACTCTGATGCAATCAGAAATTCCATTAAAAGAAATTTGAGTTACAACATATCAACTTCTTGACATGCTTGCTTGAAAACATATTCACAGTAAAGAACTTATCAATATGCCCAAATATGTACCAAATGTCTTAAAAGATCTTATAATATGAATGCTATTAACATATATAAAACACTGTGATACCATTAAGGAAATCTCAAACAATGATACTGTCTGAAAAAGAAACACTATATTTTGATTTTGCAAAACAAATTTTTAAGAATTCTGTCTGTATCCCAATCAAATAAATAAAGCAATAACCTTGTTTTGTAAACTTGGATGAAACACCTCTTATTCATATTACAGTTTTACATCACACCAACACATTATTAGTCATAATTATGGCACCTTTCCAGCTTTACTGGTGGAGGAAGACTCTCTGGTGCTTCCTAGATAACTTCCTCAATGAAGGAATCAAAAAGTTCCTGTTGGGATATCAAACCCACAGCAGTGAGGGGCAAAGGGTTTGAAGTCAATATACATAAAGGGTTTGCTGTATGTTTAAATCTTTTCAGATGCTAAATCCGCAAAGTAAATGAGGTTGTGCAACTGTTGCATGAAAAAGTCCATTTTATGTTACAGTGAATGCATAGAAAAGTACAAGTTCTGATGGTAATTTTTGAAAAATCATATAAAGAAAACAGGGATGTAATAATATATAAACAGAACAAAACCATGTTGCACGACTCTAATAAAGATTCGCAACAGTGATAAAAGATAATTTTGTTGATAAAAGTAGAAAGAAATATTTACTAAGTAAAGTGCATGGCCTTAGGAGGACCATCAACAAAACATACTGTACTGTTAAACTGCCAACTTACTTGTCATTCTCTGCAGCCAAACTATATGTTGTTCAAGGGCTCCATTTACATCATTCTTCAAGCATCTCCGAATTTGACCACATGTAAAAACAAATAATCTATATAAATATTCATTTACAGTATGAAAACTTCTTTCCCAATGGGTTTTTATGAAATTTTTTGAAACTTATTTGAAGGGAAAGTTGTTAAACAGAAAGCATCAAAATAATTCAAATAAATGCATAAAAAACTCCAAATGCAACTGCCAAACAAAACACTTTTAATTTTTATTTGTTGTTCAGTAATATATCAAAAAAGATAAATGAAACTTACTAAATTTTTCCCCTTTATAATGATTAAATTGTTTAAAATTAAAACTGTTTTGGAATTGTTCCTAAAAAATAATCATTTTTGGGCAGCCTGTATGAATACGGATTTTTAAAAGTAATTTATTGGAATCCTGTACGGGATACGTTTTTTAAAAATTTATTTTGGGAATCCTTACTGGATATGTATTTTTAAGAAATTATTTGGATCCGTATGGCCTGTATTTAAAAAAGTAATCAATTTGGTTTGTATTTTCTTATTTATTCAGTAATCTATATTGGTATCCTGTACTGGCTTAGTAACTGTATTTATTGAGTAATCAATATTGGTATTCTGTACTGGACACTGTATTAATTCAGTAATCATTATTGGCAGCCTGTACTGGATACTGTATTTATTAAGTAATCTATATTGGTATCCTGTACTGGATACTGTATTTAATAAGTAATCAATATTGGCATCCTGTCCTGGACACTGTATTTATTAAGTAATCAATATTGGCATCCTGTACTGGATACTGTATTTATTGAGTAATCAACATTGGTATCATGTACTGGATAATGTATTTAATAAGTAATCAATATTGGCATCCTGTACTGGATACTGTATTTATTAAGTAATCAATATTGGAATCCTGTACTGGATACTGTATTTATTAAGTAATCAATATTGGCATCCTGTACTGGATACTGTATTTATTAAGTAATCAACATTGGTATCATGTACTGGATAATGTATTTAATAAGTAATCAATATTGGCATCCTGTACTGGATACTGTATTTATTAAATAATCAATATTGGTATCCTGTACTGGATACTGTATTTATTAAATAATCAATATTGGTATCCTGCATAGGCCACTGTATTTATTAAGTAATCAATATTGGCATCCTATACTGGATACAGTATTTATTAAGTAATCAATATTGGTATCCTGTATTGAATACTATATTTAATTAGTAATCAATATTGGTATTCTGCACTGGATACTGTATTTACTAAGTAATCAATATTGGTATCCTGTACCGGAAAATGTATTTAATTAGTAATCAATATTGGTATCTTGTACTGGATACTGTATTTATTAAGTTATCAATATTGGTATTGTGTACCGGACACTGTAAATTAGTGATCAATATTTGAATCTTGTACTATGTATTAGATTCATTCTTAACAATATTGGTATCTTGTACTGGTTACTATATTTAATAAGTAATAGATTTGTTTTTTGTACAGGATATTATATTTTATAAAGAAACAATATTGGTTTTTTGTACTGGCTACCGTATTTAAAGGCATATCATGCCTCAGAAATGAATGAAATTTGACTTTTTTGAATTCAAAAACCTTTAAGTAATGGTTTTTTTGGCATGTAAAAGGCAAGAAAGAAGCGCTTAATGTAAAAAAAATGTAACAAAAGTAGCTAACAAAATAGTATTTTGAATTCCATACAAAATACTATATCACATTAACTGTACAAACTGCAAAAAACACACCTGGCACACTGTCACTTCACTTCAAAATTGTGGTTGTACTGATAAACAAGCAAACAGCATTTCTGAGATGGACCAGAAGGCTGATTTAAACAGCTAACTGTAAGTATTGTTTACGCTTTTGTCCTGTTATTCATTTAAGTTGTAATTTTTCAAAAATCGATCAATGTAGTTCTGTGTAGGATTGTTTAAAGCTGATTTATGTTGTTACAAAAAGAAAATTATATTAAACCCTGGCGAACTTTTTTTCTCTGACGAAGTGAACGATGATTTGTTAAATATCAAACAATTACAAGAGGGCCATGATGGCCCTGAAATCGCTCACTTTAATATAGAAGGAACAAGTAATATTGTAAACTAAAAAACTTCTTAAGTTTTTACTATATACATATAAGGTAACCAATGACCTCCCGGACTGATACAGGGCTTTTATTTGAAACAAACTTGGTAGACATGTGAGTGGACATGCACTTAGAAGATATTTCATGTCAAATATCTAAGCTCTAACTCTTTGGGTTTTTTAAAGAAGATTATTTAAGAATTTTTGACATTTGAGATTTATGACATTGACCTTGAAAGTTAGATTATTGAATTTTCACTGATGTTTGTGCATATTTTTATATATATTTAAATACAAATTTCTTCTTCTGTATGCGGATATATGTACAAAAGCTATACAAAGCAAGGTCTTTACATTACCTTGCTATATATATGTGTATAAAAAGTATGTTTTGGGAAAATGCAGAGTACAAAGTTCTTTAATTTTTTATACGTTTATTTCTGTTAGCGCTTTCAAATGTTTCTACATATCTTCAGACAGTAACGTATAATATAATCATAACAAATATAACAATGACGTAACGTTATAAAAGTGCGGGAAACGTAAAAATACAACGTTGCGCTGCAAATGAGATATTCTTTTACTCTCTATATAAGAAGTATGAAATTGCTACAAAAATACAAAGGGTAAATATTCTATAAAGGGAGGTAATAAATAAGTATTAAAGTTCAAAAAACATTGACTAATTATAGAAGTAGATACAACGTTTGCATTACTTATAAATACTTTTTAATATTAGTTAGCTAAAGGAGTAAAAATATGTCAGAAAATGTTTTACTTGAAACCATGTGGAAATGGAAAACTATTTACTTATATATAAATGTAAAAGATCTTGCATGAACCGTTATGGGGCTGGCCGAGTGGTTAAGGTCGCTGGCTTGAGATCACAGGTCGCTCACCGCTGTAGGTTTGATCCTCACTCGGGTCGAAATCTTTCATGTGAGGAAGCCATCCAGCTGGCTTACGGAAGGTCGGTGGTTCTACCCAGGTTGCCCGCTCGTGCCTGAAATAATGCCCGAAGGGGCACCTGGGGTCTTCCTCCACCAATAAAGCTGGAAAAAAATCGACGAAAAAAATCTCGCGGGACGCTCTAGGATGGCCCGACTTGAGTGTACGGTCGCCCATATGGGCTTTCCGGCGGCGACCTTATATAAGCGCATTAAAAAAAAAAAATGAACATTAAAAAAAAACAAGTCGCTCACCTGTATAAAGGCACCCGGAGCGGGGCCAGTTTAAACCCCAGGGCTTTTATTTAAACAAACTTGGAAGACACCCATTAGAAGATGTTTCACGATGTTAAGTTTCTACTACACACATATAATGAAAAACAACAATCTACCCCCCTCCTTCTGCCCCCCCCCCCCCTTGGCAGGGCCAATTTTAACCAATGGCTTTTATTTGAACAAACTTGGTAGACACCCATAAGAAGATGTTTCATGCTAAACATCTAAGCTCTAGCTCATTGGGTTTTTTTCAAAGAAGTTTTTTAAGTTTTTGCTATACATATACCCGGGTGTAGATTTTCCAGGGTAAGCCTGGAAGAGAGGCTGGTAAACCCTGGAAAACTATGGAAAAGCATGGAATTTCATGGAAATTCATGGAAAATTGGTATTTTTTCCATGCTATGTGGACTTTTTTTGTCCAGCCATTTCCAGCATTGCTGGAATAGGCTGGAAATTGGCTGGACATTTGTGGTAAAAGCCTGGAAAACCATGGACTTTACTTCCATGTAGCATGGAAAGTGGAACTTAGATTTTTTTGATGCTGGAAATGTGTTAAACTTTCTCTAAGTATGCTGGAAAAAACTTGTAAAAATTACAAGAAATCTTACTTTATATATTCAGCACAATATTGTAAATTTACGAAGAAAATATACAATCATCATTTATTTTAATGCAAGTTACTGTAAATGATTTGAAATTTGACACTTTATACTTTTTATGTAGTTGAAAAAGGGTATCTCAGAAAAAATGTCTTATAATGCTAAAGACATAAAATTAATGAATTGATTGTTCAAAATACATATTATTATTTAAATAAATCTACATGAAGTTATGTACAATGAAATAATATCCATTTAATTACAGGCTTTAAGTTTAACTATAAATTAATTAAAGTATGTGATTAAAAAAATCATTCAGACACTATATAATAATCAAGATGGGATTGCATTGCTTGCCATTTTTAAATTGTAAGAATTCATGTTTTTGGATAACAATAAATAAATAAACAAAACAATAACAGTGCATGAAAGAATCTCATATATATTCTATATTAAATTGACCAATATTTAGGAAAATAAATACTACATCCACTGAGATTTTACGCTACACAGATCAGAGCTCTGATAAAACTCATTGACCAGCATTTTCTAACCATCTGTGTATGACTAATTTACTCCACTGGTCATTTCAGATCAGGCTGTTCCATGTGATTATTTTGGGGAGAGATAACATTATAAATTTCATATGAAGAATGTGTCTAGAAGGGCATTGCAATCTTTTTTGTACAAAACTTTGTAATGATCTTTAAAATCTATATATCTATTAGCTATTTGATATTTTCTGTAACGCTCAAAGAATAAAAGTTAAAATGATGAGCAGATTAACCCTGCTTTACATAATGATAGACCTGTCCAGTAACTGTTGTAAATTATGAATTCTAAGATATCTGGGTCAGAAAGAGTGCAAATTACAGAGAATGTACTTGATATTTTAGCAGTTTTGGAGATATTGTTTTGTTTAAGACTTTAAAGTGTTTAAGTACATGTATTGGCATAATAACAATTAGAATCACCTGGGACAAAGAGATATAGAACAGAATCAGGTATTTATAAACCTTAAGTTACATCAATGCAGAAACAGGTTATATATCAAACTATTAACATTTGTAACAAGAGATCAAGGTTCTTTTCATATTTTCAACTTCATGCATTTGTTTTTTCTGATAATTGTTTTTAATCTCTACATGTATAATATGTAAAATATAAATTATTCAATGATTTCTTTATAATGTATATTGTTGAAATGACAATTGTTAGTAGATCTTTTTCATTTCCTACAAATAAAACAAATTAAATCAATTTGATTAAATATGACTAAATGGTACAATCAGTTAAGTTTTGTACAGCTGAACAGGGTCATCATAATCATTTGTTATATTTACATGTATGTGTTGTGTTTTCAATGGAACAATCTAAAATTACATTTTACATTATACAATTACATAACTTGCAGGCTGGGACATAAGTGGTGACTGTGAGAATTACCAACAGTGTTTAATAATGATGTGCAGTATTAATCCTGAAAAGGTATATTTTTAAATCTCAATACGTGTACTTTTTTATTCCATGTCTTTTCTTGAAAAAATACATACTGGGTGATAAATATTGTCACAAATTTACTTAATTCTTATACATGTACAGAGAAATTCTTAAACACTTGTGCACTTTGAAATAAGATATACTGCATTGCTTTAGTATTTTTGAATATGCATAAGCATAGTTAATATTTAATAGTTAATACATTTGAAACATTAGATTTGATGTTATTAAAAGATACAAAATATAACTGCATAATATTTATATGCAATAAAACATAAGTCATTACCACATCTGTGTTAAATTTATTATGAATTTTATCTTTAAAGGTGAGCACAACCACAAGAAGTTCTAGGAAACACAGGCAGAGGACTGAAAATGGACATCAATAAAAGAAATAGTAATTTAAATAATCAGAAACACTTGAAACAAATTTAAGATTAAAACAGTTTCTCATTGACAGATTAAGAGCAAAATAATTGCTAAAATTTATAAGACAACCAGAACCTAGCTACCAAACCTGCAGCTAGAAAAAAAACTGTTTGTGCTATAGTGAATGTAGGATGTTCTATTCTGTATTTGGACTAAAGGATATGTATTAAATTTTGTGAAGGAAATATGTGATCATGTTAAACTAATAAAAATTCCACCCCAAATATTCCTGTGCTGAATTCCGTCAGAGAATTTTAAATTTTAAGAACATTCAGGGATGCTGGAATTAGGCTGGATTTTTTTCCATGTTATTCCATCAAGGCTGGACTATTTACCATGGTAAAAAGTCCAGCCTCTATGGTTGGCAGTCACATGGAATACCCTGGAAAAAAATCCATACTTTTGTTCCAATACTCCATGTACATGGAAAAGCATGGAATAAAGTCCATGCTTTTCCATGGAAAACATGGAAAATATTCCATGCAGCATGGAAAATGTTCCCTGTTTTTCCAGCCCATTTTTTCTCAGCTTCAGGCTGGAAAAGGCTGGAAAATTTTGTTCCAATACTCCAGCCTCTTATTTTCCATGGAAATCCCTGGAAAAGCATGGACTTTTTACACCCGGGTATAAGGAAAATCAATAACACCCGGGGCGGGGCCAATTTTGACTCCAGGGCTTTTATTTGAACAAATTTGGTAGACACTCATTAAGTTTTTACTATACACATATAGTTAAAACTAGGGATGGCAACGAGTAACCGGTTAACCGAGTACTCGATCGAACGTCCGAATATCTGTTAACAAAATTGATATTCGATTACTCGGAAAAAATGTATAATTTCTATTTTATTTGCTATTTAGACAGTTTGGTGTATCCAATTAGTTCAAAAATTCGGAGATGTGCATATACCTTCATAAATACCTGTTAAATACAATCACAACTTCCTTGCAGAGGTGCGAAAATAATACCATAAATTTAATGAGGCGATCAACAGTTTGACACGCGCACATGTGTCGCTTACGTCATCCGGTCTCTTATGATATTTAGTAACCTTTAATTGTGTAACACAATGCAGTTTGTACCCGAATCTTGTTTTAAGGTAACATTTTTGAAAACAACAAAGGGCCGTATTGCTATTATGATATAATAATTAAGGTAGTATTTAGACCCGGTTAAACTTTTGTTGCCGCCGATCAGTCTATTTTATTACAAGAAGAACAAGATTGCATTTGAGAAAAATGCTATGCCACCGCATTAATACAACACTAAATAGTAGTGTAGGAACAGATTTTTTTTGTTTCTATTCAATTTTGTAGATTGTCATAATGCATAGATCCCTGACCTATCTAATTTTTATCAGATTAGTGGTTAAATCTGTTGTTAACTCAATAAAAGATCAGAGTAGGAATATATCAATGCACTCAAGTCTAGTGAATTTGGTGGTGAAGGTCATATTTCAAACAGCCTAAATTTCATGACTACATCAAAGGACAACACAGTAAGACACTTTGTCAAAATCTAGGTCAGCTGATATCAAAGTTCACTTTACATCTTAATCTGTGCACATGGTTCAAATTTCATAGCTGTACATCAAAGGACAAGAAAGTAGGTCACATCATCAAAATCTAGGTCACCTGATATCAAAATTCAATTTCACAACTAAAACTGTGCACATGGTCAAAATTTCATTGCTGTACATCAAAGGACAAGAAAGTAGGTCACTGTCCCCTTGGGCAAGGCAAAATTTTGGACCCAAGGGTTTAATTCAAAACAATCTTGATACAGGTCCACCAAACAACATTTCAAGTCAAATATCTAAGCTGTAGCTTTCTCCCATTCAGAAAACATTTGTTTTATTTTCTGTTTTTACTATGTGTACATAATGAGAATCACTGCCCCCGGGCACGGCCAATTTTAACACCAGGGGAAAAATTTGAACAACTTTGGTAGAGGACCTATAGATGATATATATAATATAGCAAACATCAAAGCTCTATGCCTTGTACCTTCAGACAAAAATATTTTTTATTTTTTTACTATATGTACATTATGAAAATTAATGACCCCCGGGGCAGAACCAATTTTGACCCCAGGGCTATAATTTGAACAATCTTGGTAAAGGTTCACTTCGCAAAGTCTCATGCCATATATTTAACCTCTAGCCTTTGTCAATTCAGAGAAGAGGATTTTTCAATTCTGAGAAGAGGATTTTTCAAGTTTTTACTTTATACATATAAGGAAAACTATCGCCTCTGGGGCAGTGCAATTTTAACACTAGGGGCATAATTAAAACAACTTTAGTAAAGGACCAATAGATAATACTATATACCAAATATCAAAGCTCTAAGCCTTGTACCTTAAGACAAGAAGATTTTTTAATTTTTTACTATATGTACATAGTGAAAATCAATGACCCCTGGGGATGGGGCCAATTTTGACCCCAGGGCTATAGTTTTTTACAATCCTGCTAGAGGTTCACTACATAATGTTTCATGCAAAATATCTTAACTCTAGCCTTTGTAAATCTAGAGAAGATGATTTTTTTAAGTTTTAACTATATACATATAAGGAAAACCTATGGCCCCTGGGGCGGGGCTAATTTTGACACTAGAGGCAAAATTTGAGCAACTTTGGTAGAGTACCTATAGATGATATCATTTAACAAATATTAAAGCTCTAAGCCTTGTACCCTCAGGCAATAAATTTTTTTACTATATGTATATATTGAAAATCAATGACCCCCGGGGCGGGGGCAATTTTGACCCCAGGGCTATAATTTGGAAAATCTTGCTAGAAGTTCACTTCACAATGTTTCATGCCAAATATCTAACCTCTAGCATTTGTCAATTGCTAGAAGAAATTGTTTTAAAGTTTTTACTATAAGTTTTTACTATATACATTTTAGGAAAACCAATGACCTCCGGGGCGGGGTCGATTTTGATCCCAGGCCTATAATTTGAACAATCTGGGTAGAGGTCTACCAGACAATGCCTTATGCAAAATATCTAAGCTCTAGGCTTTTGAGTCTTTACAAGTAGGTATTTTAAGTTTTTACTAAATGTACATATAGTGAAAATCAAAGATCCCCGGGGCGGGGCCGATTTTGACCCCAGGGCTATAATTTGAACAATCTTGGTAAGGGTCTACCAGACAATGCCTTATGCAAAATATCTAAGCTCTAGGCTTTTTGGGTCTTTACAAGAAGGTATTTTAAGTTTTTACTATATCTATATATAGTGAAAATCATTGACCCCCGGGGCGGGGCCGATTTTGACCCCAGGGCTATAATTTGAACAATCTTGGTAGAGGTCTACCAGACAATGCCTTATGCAAAATATCTAAGCTCTAGGCCTTTTGGGTCTTTACAAGAAGATTTTTTTAATTTATTCTTATAATTCCTTTTGGTTGCCATGGCAACCAGATTTCTGCATGGAATGAAATTCTTTGAACAACTTTGGAAGCGCTTCACCCAAGGATCAATCCTGCCAAGTTTGGTTGAAATTGGACTAGTGGTTTTTCACAAGAAGATTTTTTAAGTTCACTATATAATCTATATAACACACACACACACAAACAAACAAACAAACACACACACACACGCACACACACACAGGTGAATCGCTATATGCCACCGCATCGCAGATGCTGCGGTGGCATAAAAAGATGTTTCAACTGCTAAACATGTTTTAAACTTGATATTGCATTAATTAAAATGTTCTAAAGTATAATGTCGTTGATTTAATTTTAATTAATTTGTCTCCTTTGCAGTCCTATCTATAGTTACGAATTCTATGAATGTAAATAGAAAACGAAAGTAGCATGCGGACGGTGTTGATATTGTGGGATAAACTTTGAAGATCATTGGAAATCGTCCGAGTAACCGAGTACTCGATCGGAAAAATGCCCGAGTACTCGAGTATTAATTTTGGTATTCGTTGCCATCCCTAGTTAAAACCAATGCCACCCCTGGGGCGGGGCCAATTTTGACCCCAGTGCTTTTATTTGAACAAACTTTGTAGACAATTACTAGAAGATGTTTCATGCTTAATATCTAAACTCTAGCTATTTGGGTTTTTTCAAAGAAGTTTTTTAAGTTTTTTGCTATACATATATAAGGAAAATCAATAACACCCGGGGCGGGGCCAATTTTGACTCCAGGGCTTTTATTTGAAACAAATTTGGTAGACACTCACTAGAAGATGTTTCATGCTTAATATCTAAACTCTAGCTATTTCGGTTTTTTTCAAATGAGATTTTTAAGTTTTTACAATATGCATATAGGGAAAATCAAAGACCCCCTGGCGCAGGGCCAATTCTGACCCAAGGGCTTTTATTTGAACAAACTTGGTAGACACTCTCTAGAAGATATTTCATGCTTAATATCTAAACTCTAGCTATTCGGGTTTTTTCAAAGAAGATTTTTAAGTTTTTACTATATGCATATAGGGAAAATCAAAGACCCCCTTGGGCGGGGCCAATTTTGACCCCTGGGCTTTTATTTAAACAAACTTCATAGACACTCACTAGAAGATGTTTCATGCTAAATATCTTAGCTCTAGCTCTTTGGGTTCTTTAAAAGAAGATATTTTAGGTTTTTACTATATGCATATAGGGAAAATCAAAGACCCCCTGGGGCGGGGCCAATTTTGACCCCAGGGCTTTTATTTGAACAAACTTGGTAGACACTTATTAGAAGATGTTTCATGCCAAATATCTAAGCTCTAGCTCTTGGGGTTTTTTAAGAGAAGATATTTTCTTTCGGTTGCCATGACACCAGAGTTCTGCATGGAATTAAATTCTTTGAACAATTTTTTAAGGTGACCACCAAAGGAACATTCCTGTGAAGTTTGGATGAAATTGGCTTAGTGGTTTATGAGGAGATGTCATTTAAAGTAAAAGTTTACGGACGGACGGACGGACCAAAATTTGTTGTTTATGAGGACGGACGGACGGACGCCGGACGAAAAGCGATCACAAAAGCTCACCCTGTCACTTTGTGACAGGTGAGCTAAAAATGAACCGTTATATAGACTAAATAAAGGGAGGTAATAAATATGCTTTAAAATGAAAAGCATTGACTTATCATAGAAGTAAATGCAAAATTTGTATTACTAATAAGTACTTTAAGTGCACGTCGCTGAGAAGGCACAGGGCATCGGCAGAAGATTTTCAACTTGGCTGGTAGAC